TCTTTTGATTCAAGAATGCTTCTGCTACACAGGGGGATTTTATCATCATATAAACTTTGTGAATGCTGCTTTAGATCTTTGATGGGTGTCATTGTTACTTTGTACTGACTTTAAATCACTTTGGACAATACTGATGTTTTATCAGTGTGCATACTTCCAAAACATAAATGTGGAATGCACTGTCATTTCTTAGCATCTCAATCATTCTTTTTCATCAATGTCATAATTGTCAAAGCCCGGATGCTTTACTAAATAGTATATACTTATCCCTAAATGTTTCACTTCTGAACTCTTAGATTGTATTTCAAATAATTTGCAACTGGTACATTGCAAAGATGGATTAATTTATACTAATAGTGTTTGGGTGAAATTTGAGAGAAGGTTTCTGAATAAAAGATAACACTATCCATATATAAACAAAATTTTACTTCTCACAAATTGAATGGCTTGGCGATCTGAAAGAGTTCTGGGACCGTGGGATCTCTCAGGAACAGCAGTTCTCGAAACATTCTCTTCTTTAAGACTTTAGGAAGAGAGACTCTTTGGATTTTCAATACAATATTAACTTGAGACTTCTGTATAAATACCTTTATTATGCTGAGATATTTCTAGATCTTGTGTGTGTGTGTGTGTGTGTGTGTGTGTGTGTATGTGTGTGTGTGTGACAGAGAGAGAGAGAGAAAAAGAGAGAGAGAGAGAGAATGTTGTGATATGTGTGGTCTGTGTGTATCTGTGTGTGTCTGTGTATCTTCATATCATGGAAATCTATTTTAAAGCCTAGAAACCTGAGTGTATCAGCATTAAGGATAAATATTTGTTTTAGCTAGGAAGAAAGAGTTGAGATAAAGCACATCCATCAGGCAATGATGGGTTAAACTCCTAATGGACTAAAACAACTTTTGAGTTCAAAATAAACAGACAAAAAGTCTCCAAAAGAAAACCAAAAAGCCTGGATCTATAAGAAAATTCATTCTAACACATAGTACTACATATACAGGAGAGAGATTCAATATTGTCTGAAAAGACAACTTTGGAAATGGGAAAATCATGGCTAAGCAGTTAGTCTCCATATATTCTGAAATGAAACACGATAGTTAAATATTATTATTTAATAAATCAATACATATTTGGTTCTTTAAAAAAGTCAGGCACAGTTATTACACAACAGAGAAGCACAAAGTAAAGGCTAAAGCCATAAGACGTTTTCTGGTATCCCTGAATTATTTTATGTCCCAGACTATAATATCTCCTTAAATTAGCTGTATTGTTCTTTATTGTGAAAGTAAAATTCGAAAAGACTTTAAGTAAATGTTAATAGATAATAAAAAGCCTTAATGGAGAAAGTAAACAGGGATCTAAAAGACGTTTGACTCCGCTCAATGTTTCCATTTTGGGCGCCAGCCAGATGTCTAGCCCAGTTTCAGGGTGTCCCCGTGCTCTTCTGCAGTGCTCTCCTCTCTGTCCCTGTTGGCACTGTGAACTGCTTGGCTCTGTGATAAAGAAAGCTGCAGTAATAAATCAGCATTTTTGAGCCCCCAAATTCCCGTTTAGTTGTGAGATGTTAAAAGTGCCAATTTTATGTACAAGTGTCTTCCACTCAAAATAGTTTGCAAACCATTGACTCAAAAAATTTCAATCATTGTAAGAAATAGTGATTCTTTTAGTGACCGTTGTTAATTGCGCATTAGTCTCTGCATCTTTAAATTTCAAATAGTAAGCAAAAATTTGAGAAACTTCAGTAAAATCTTGTGGAATATATATGATTAAAATACTAAATTTCTGTGAATTATGTGTGGATGACAAATTAAATTTGTACTGGGTTATTAATTAGAGGAGCCGTATCTTCAGAAGGGGGAAGTCCTTGCACTTAGTGTTTCATTAGAATGATGTGCATATAACTTATAATTTATGCATGGACTTAATCATTGTAAGTCCACTTGCCTATTTCTAATGGTTTCCTTTTTTTTAGTTGAAAATAGGGGTGTTTTCATTCAATGTATTCTGACTATGGAGTGGCTCCCAGATCCACCCCACTTTGTCTCCTATCCAAATCTATATCCTTTCTTTCTCTGTCTTATTAAAACACATTCAAGAATCTAAGTAATTAAAAATGGAAATAATAATAATTGCATAAAATAAAAACAAAGAAACCAGAATAGGTCAAGATTAACACACATTAGCACTCACAAAAAACTGATTAAAAATAAATCAATAAAACTATAATATATAAGCAAAAGATCTGTAAGGTTTAAAAGCCCTTCAATGATCCCAGTAAGTTGCTGAGTTTGCCTTGTATTGATCATCTGCTGTTGGAAGTGGAGCCTTCCCTTATGTCTGCTTTGTATAGAAAACTAAGTATTCCTTTGTAAACATAATCCGTTGGGTTCTACATTAGGGATGGAGGCTTGTGTCCGTTTTATTTTCCCTTTACGAACTGAGACTCCATCTGGGTCACACTTATGTGGTCCTGTGCATGTTGCCACAGTCTCTGTGTGTTCATCTATGTGTCATCCCTTTTCCGTCCATAAGGCCTTATGTGTTCTCCATCCCTCTTGGCTCTTACAATATTTCTGCTTCCTCTTCTACAGAGTTCCCTGAGTCCTGATGGGAGGCAATTGATGGAGACAGTCTGTTTGCGGATGAGTGTTCCAAGATCTCTCACTTTCTGTGCATTTTCTAGCTGTGGATCTTAGTATTTGTTTCCATTTACTACAGCAGAATGCATGAGGAGTCCTTTTATTCTAACATTCCTTAAGCACAACAATACATTCATGTTTTTCTGCTAGATCATGTTCTATATAATCTCCGGTTCGTGGCCACCAGAATGGTGTCAGGCATGAGTTCCATCTCACGGCATTAACTTTATTCCCAGTAGGATACTGGTTGGTAACTTCAACAACTTTATGAGACTATTGTGCTAGCATATCATGAAGGCAGATTACCATTTTACGTCATGAATTTTGTAGCTGGGTTGGTGTGTATTTAATTTTCTCCTCTGTAATTTACAGAGTACCTTCCAGTACATTAACACTAGAAAGTGGGGGTAAAGGCTCTGGGTAGGCACCAGCTTGTCTTCTCTGTGTTCAGTGCCTTCTCTAGGTATTATCTTCTGCAGTAGGGCTTTCTGTCAGTTTATGGAGAGCACATAATAGCCTTGGCGACAGCCTGGGTTAGTGGGGGTGTTCTAAAGGGTCCCTTTGGCCAATAACTCGAATAGATATATTTAAATTCCAATGTTGGGGCTTTCATTTAGTCATTAGTGATGTCTGGTTGGGACTATGTCTCCCCCAGTATTTTAAAATTTGCTTGAGCATCTGGAAATGTTGACTCAAGGTCACATTCCCCATTTTGAAGAAGGTAGAAGAAAAGATGAGGACTGACATTTAACAATCCATGGTAGGATAAAGAGGGAGCAGAGGGTGATTGAGAGGGAAACAGCAAAAGACAATATAAAGGGAATCTTCTTAATTCCAAAGGTAGATTATAATAACTAGTTGGTTATGTTAAAAGCTTAATTAGCTCGCCTTGTAGAACAAGTAATGCAAAACGAAGGCTGTAGGATCTGTTCCTCCAGTTATAACCTAGGTGAGTTTGAAGCCAGCTGAGATTTCAATGGCCCTGTCTCAAATTTATAAAGCTTTCTTCCTGAGTGCAAGTTGTGTAGCTGACATTATATGAGCTTGAGGAGTCATGGTTAAGGCCCCAATTTCACTGTGTCCACATCTCCAAAGAACATTGATTTTATCATTGTCCCATCTAGAGACAGAAATGTATGTTCTCTCCTACACTTCTCAGTTACTTAAAGCTAAATACTTAATATTTGTCTTTTCTTGCTTATCGTTATTGATCTTTTTCTTAGTCCTTCTATAATATTTTTATTTTTAATGTATGTTCAGTTATGTGTGGTCTCTGTGTGTGTGTGTGTATATGTGTGCACATGCTTGTGAATTTAGGTGTCCAGATGAGGCCAGAGAAGTGTCAGATGCCTGAGTTACAGGCAGTTATGAGCCACTCAATGTGTGCACTAGGAGCTTACTTGGGTCACTGCAAGAACAGGTGTTCTTGCCTGCTGAGTGTGTCTGTCCCTGCATTCTTCTGCCATGTTCTCTGCATAATCAAGAGTCTATGACTCCTCACGATTGTCATTGCGACTGTCACTCAAAGGCAATGTCTTTTGTGACTACTTACAACTAAACCAGCATCCTGTCATTGTCACTTTAGCCTTCCTGCTCCTCATCATTAATTTGCCCCATTTTCCCATTCTTCACTCTGGAGTTGGAGATTCTGTCTGATTCCCCAGCTCTCCTTCAGCACGACCACTCTCCAGCTCAGTGAGGCTGCTTTGGTTCTCTTCTTTCTTCCACTGTCATTTTTCTTCCCATTCATTAACTTTAACTCTGTCATCCTTTTAATCTTGCGTCTCCCTTTCAGATGGATTGGTCCATGAAATTGTGACCTTTCCTTTTCTCATTGGTATGATTTCTGGTCTAAGGTAATCCACAACCAATATTTGATGAACAAACTGGTAATAACAAAATTCCATCTGCCTCCTAGATAAAGAAATCTGTATGCATCCGCAGGATTGAGTATACAAAAATCTCCTTTATTTTCCATTGTGTTCTATTCTGCCGTCTCTTTAAACTCCTTCATAGGTTTTGATAACCCATTTGCTACATCAACCCATGAAGTTAGGGTAGAAGAACAATAAATTAGCTCTTAAATTTTCACCTTCTGTGTTACCACAATGCTGATTATTAAGCATGTGTTTAATGAACTTCACAATTAAAGGTAAAATGAGGAAATTCACAATATCTCTGAGGATTGTGTGATTTTCCACAGGCATAAACCAGAATCATGTTTTTAATATAAAATATTAGATTATTTGTGGATCAAATGTGTGTGGGCTTGGATCCAAAGAATGTCTAATAAAGCCCTTGTAGTTTGAGCTTTGTCTGTTAGTGATCTGTATTATTCAACAACTGAATTCTGTGTGTTTTCAGAGATCATCTACAGCTGGGTCTTTAACGAGTTCCCCTCCTTTGTGGCGGAGGACAGTCGGCGGTTCATATCCCAAGAGACAGGCAACCTTTATATATCGAAAGTGCAAACATCAGATGTTGGCAGCTATATTTGTCTGGTCAAAAATTCCGTGACGAATGCGCGAGTGCTCAGTCCTCCGACACCACTCACTCTGCGGAATGATGGTGAGTTACCTGGCATGGATTTAAATGGTCAACATTTCATACGTAAATCCAAAGATTCCTAATTTTCTAAGAAATTGTCCTCAATGCAAATAAACTAAAATAGAACTACCTTATTTATAATTTCATCCCTTTAATGTGGGTTTATGCATGCCTCGGAATAAAAATGTTGAGATGAGTGATGGGAAGATGGCTCAGTGGGTAAAATGTTTGCACTCTTCAGACTCTTCAGGACCTGGGTTCAAATCCCAAGTACCTGTGTATGCACTCTGACATAGCATGCCTATAAGGCAAGCATGGAGAAGTAGAGACAAGTGGATCTCTGAAGCATGCTAGTCAGCCAAGCTGAATCAGAGAGTCAAGTGCAGCGAAGATTGCCTCAAAAAGTAGGTAGAGAGTAATTGAGGAAAAAACACACACACACACACACACACACAGTGATGATTCATAGATTATAAATACTTATAATAGTACTCAAAACTTAGAACGTGAGCATCTGGAAAGGAGAGGCACACAAGCTCCACAGTTCTTTGCTTATTCCTTAGTGTCTGTATGGAGCATATGTGTATTTACTGTATGAGTTTTATGGCTTCAGTTTTCATTTCATTTGTAGTTCATCTGTCTTCAAATTCAGTCTTAAGCTTTTAATATTTTATTGTACAATTATAATTGTTATTACTTTTCCAATAATAGGAACAGTTGTAACTTTAACTATTTGGTGCAGTGCAGGCAGGTGTAATGATGCTATAATTATAGGAATCGCCATCTATCCACAGGCTCTTCACATTGAAACACCTCATTTGTATTTATAGACATTTACAGTTAGGCATTGCATTAACACAGTCAAGTGCTCTATTATAGGTGATATATGGCATGCAGATTGCTCTGCTGTGCAACACAAATTACCTATGAAGACATTATTAAGAAGTGAACTTGAGAATGAGAATTCTGACTGATTTTGAAGTATTAAAAAACTATACTTCAACACTTTCATAGTTCTTTTATATGCTTTTTCCCCATGAGACAGTCTTGCTTAGCTGAGGCTAGCTGTAAACTGTTGTCCTCTTGCTCCCGTCCCCCCAAGTGCTGTCAGTTTGTACAACCACAGCCAGCTTTTAAAATTGTTTCTTAAAAATATATATACTCTTTTGATGATTTGAATGATAATGATCCCCATAGGATTATATATTTGAATACTTGATCACCAGGGAGCAAAACCATTTAGAAGGATTACAAAGTTTAGGAGGTGTTGGCCTTGTTGGAGGAAATATGTAACTGAGGGTGGGCTTTGAAGTTTCAAAATTCAAGGCCAGGTTCAGCCCCACCCTCTCTTTCTGGGTAGGAAAATCTGGGAAGGATGCAAGGTAAGAAATTAAAGATGAAGTAAAAGACTAGAGTGTAGAATAAAATGAAAGGGACCACAGAAGGAGATGAAAACCACATGCCCAACAGATGCCTAAGGGAGTAACATGCACACGCATGTGCACACACACACACACACACACACACACACAGAGAGAGAGAGAGAGAGAGAGAGAGAGAGAGAGAGAGAGAGAGAGAGATGCTGAAGTCAGCAGTAGCAATGTGAGTGTATCGGTGTATCAGGGCTGGAGAGTACTTGATGCTCTCTGTAGCAGAGGACACAGGCTCTCTGTAGCAGAGGACACAGGCTCTGTGCCCAGAACTAGCACCAGGCAGCTCATGACTACCTATAACACTATTTCCAATCAATTCAGTGTCCCCTTTGGTCCTGGAGGGATAGTAGATACACAAGTGGAACACGTATAAAAAAGCGGGCACTCTCACTAACATAACATAAAACTTGAAAAATATATCTTTAGTGACTAGATGGACTCACATATGCTGACCAGGGTAGTTTTCCCTGGGCTGAGGAAAGAAGCTAAAGGCCTCCCTTGTGGCCACAGGTCGTTGGGTGACTTTATGGTGGGCAAGTGTATGGAAGGGTATGGAAGAGAGAGGCAGAACGGTTCATGTTCTGTGGAGAAAGGGAGATCCACGGAGGTGAAGGTGGCAAGGAACCAACTGAGATGGTAGTCCTGCTTCCCACCTGGGGCCATGGTGATGTCCAGTCCTGGGCTGTTGCCAAGTGCATGTCTGGGTCCATGGCCCTGCCTGCAGCTGTGATCTGCATTGGTGTCTGAGGGCCATGCCTCCATAGAGGTCATCCTGGTCCAAGTGGCCTGGGCTACCACCCAGGGCGATGATGGCCACCTGGCTTGAACTGCAGTTAAGGGCCATGTCTGGGTCTGTGGCCCTACCACAGCCAGGATTTATGTTGATATCCAAGGTGCCCAACTAGGGCCATGTTGGGGTCGTAATGCAATCGGGGCCTGTGTCGTTGTCAGTCCTGTAACCACTGAAGTCTTGCAGATGCCCAGAATGTGGGCTGGTAGTGGAGGCCGTATTTGTGCCCAAGAGTCATGCCACCACCCCCTACACATCTGCACGGTCTGTACTGCAACCTGGGGCCATTGTATTATGCAGACACAGGCTGCAGTTAAGAGTCATGTCTGAGTCTCTGGCCCTACTGCAGCCAGGATCTGTGCTGATAGCCAAGGCTCCTGGTACCACTGGGCAGATCATGAGGATTGGGCTACCACCTGTCTGAGGGCCTCCTTGAAGCTAGGGCGACACCACTCCTAAAGGCCTGCACAGGCAGCATGGGTCATAATGACATCTGGGTCTGAGAGACTTCTGAGGACCATGTCTGGGTTGGTGATACTACCACAGCAAGGGTCTACGTTGATGTCCATGACCCGTGTTCCTGCCAAAGGCTACAAGGCTGTCCAGCTTCATGGTCGTCACCTATGACCATGTTGGGATCAGAGGCAGGTGCAGTAGCTAGAGTCTTGCCGACCTTGTGGCCTTGGTGTTGTCCAGGCTGGACATGCCTGGATCCACAGTCAGGGTCTGTGTTGAGGCCTGTGGTTCCTGTTGACATCAGGGGTCATTCGACTGCTCAGGGTCTCTACAGTCATCTGGGACCATGTTGGAGTCTGGAAACCACACCACTGCTGGACCCATGCTGATATGATACATACACTGTCACCGGGGCCATGGTGACATCTGGACCCAAGCTGCTGCTGCTAGCTCTGTCTAGGCCCTTGATCCCGATGCAGCTGGGGTCTGTGTAGATGTCTTTTGCTCATGTTACCACAGGGGACCATGTGATCCAAGTGTTTAACCATGAATTGAAGTACAAGGACCTCACTGACTTGGCCCTGCCGCTCACTGACATGGGGAGAGTCACCCCCCTTACCGGAGTGCTGACCCTGTCCCTAGCCAGTCCTGGGATAATGGACCCAGATGATCCTGGCAGAGGAGAGCTGTCCCTGCTCTTCACCTTAGGGGAGTGGTCTCAGTAGCTGGGACTGATCAACTCAGGTGCCACCCAGGTACAAATCCAGGACTATGAGTTGGCATACCCCAGCATCTGTCCCATCTGTGACCTGCTGGAATGCATGAAGGAACTGGTCCTGTGGAGCCATGATCATGGTCTACATGACTTGGGCAATGATGAGGTGTCCTGGGAGTTTCTGTTGGGTCCACTGTTGATGGTATGCCTGAGGTCAGATGCCTTGAACCTGACCAAGAACACATTACACAATGAACAAGGAGAGCTGTTTGGACCAAAGAGTGTACTGCATGACACACCATAGCTCCCAAAGCCACTAAGGTGAATGAAGAGGTGGTGGAGAGGCAAGGATGAAGGAGCGAAATGGGTTTTTTCGGGGGGTGGGGGTTTGGTTTTGTTTGTTAACTTGTTTATTTTTGTTGTTTTTTTGCTTTGTAATTGAAATTATATTTGCAATTGAAATTTCATGATGTGAAATTCCCAAATCAACAAAATTAAAATAATTTAAAATCTTTTTTTAAAAAAATAGAATAAATATTTTTTTAAAAATAAACAAAAAATGAAGTCTGTTGCTCTCGTAGAGGATCAGGAGTCAGTTCCCAGCACCCACAAGGCAGTTAATAACCTGTAACTCAAGTTCCATGGGATCTGATGCCCTCTTCTGGACTCTGTGGGCCCTGCAAGCATGTGGTGTACAGATAAACATGCAGTCATAACAACCATACATATACTATAAACATAAATCTTTTTAAAATAACAAACAATTATGATAAAAAATTAAACAAAATGAAATTTCAGATTCTTTTATTTATCCTTCCTTCAGTTAATGTACTCAGATTCTTCAGTGATGCAACAGGAAACTCCAAATGACTCAAGTTGTTACTCTAAGCTGAGTGTATAATAACTATACATACATACATATATAACTACTACACACCTATACACATACATATACATGTATAATTACTATACACATGTACATATATTATGTATATGTATAATTACTACACACATACATATATATAATTACTACACACACACACATATATATATACATATCTATGTATTTTTAATGGAACTAAAGAAGGGGGTTGAAGATGCATTTATTGAATAGTTTTGCAGAAGAACTCCAGAATCTTTTCCCTTTATCTATATATACACAAGGGGTTTGTGTAAGTGGAACTAAATGCTCCCACATGAATGATGAGCCCGTACTAAGCAACCTTCTCTTCTAATATTTATGTGTTTTCTGTGTGAGATCTTGACCTTCACTCAGAGCAGAGCTTCACCATCCAAACTCCTCACTGACTGGTGACTCACTGGGCAACCAATTCTACCAGTGAATAAGCAGTGGAGTCTATACCAACTTTTAAGCTCCTAAAACACAGTGAGTTTTAAATAAAGTTCTAAGTTAACAATCATGATTAAAACTAGCAGAAGGTATCAGAGATTGCAAGATTAATAGCAAAAGAATATACAAAAATGGATGCAAATTATTATAAGAAATTATTTTAATTCAAGGACTCTGTCACTATTTGATGGTTCTTTACTATTTGATAACTGAAAGACATTTTCACAAAAAGGATATGGTCCTGAATGGTTGCCCTCACGGTTGTCAAACACTAAA